TAATTAATTCAAAGCATATTCCAAAACGAGGTTTAATTTGATCATGTTAAAAAAAAAATAACTAAATGTAAGGAAACAATGAACATCCGTGGTGAATACAGATTTTTATACGGAACATATTCAATCTAATAATACTGTGGACGCATTATATTAGTCGAGTAGTAATTTTCGTGGACTTCTCGTGTATAAGTGAACAACGAATTTTAGTGTCAAAAAAAAATAATCTTGTAACATCGAATCCCCCCGCGCCACTTAATCTTGGAATACTGGTGTCAATGAAAATAAAGGAATATACAGTATAGTATATCACGCTTACATTTCGTTTACATTGGTTAGTCCGGTAAACGTTTTGTTGCATATAGAAGTTATGTTGTTCGACGACAGGTCCCTGAAAAAAGAAAAAAAAAACATTGATGAAGGTGTAAAGATTATACTTATGCAATTGAGCTGTCAAATTATTATAAAATAATTTCATATTGTCTGAAATAATAGCATAATTTGTATGAGCAAGACTAATATAAGAAACAGTTAGAATGGGAAGTTCTGATAAGTAATTGCATTAGAAGTTTTGTTGCATTATTATAAAAATGGAAATGATCATGTTCATACAAATTTAACGCTTTTGTCATAATATATAAGAAGATGTGGTATGAGTGCCAATGAGACAACTCTCCATCCAAGTCACAATGTATAGAAAGTTAACAATTGTAGGTCAAAGTACGGCCTTCAACACGGAGCATTGGCCCACACCGAACAGCAAGCTATAAAGGGCCCCAAAATGACTAGTGTAAAACAATACAAAGAGGAAAACCTACGGTCTAATCTATACAAAAAACGAGAAACGAGAAACACCTATGAACCACACCAACAAACGACAACCACTGAACAACAGGCTCCTGACTTAGGACAGGTGCATACAAATGCAGCGTTTTTTCTTTAGAGCATTCCAAGTAGCCATGAACATGATATAATGTCCCGAACTGTACTTATTTCCACAAGTTTGCATGAATATGATACAATGTCCCGAACTGTACTTATTTCCACAAGTTTGCATGAACATGATACAATGTCCCGAACTGTACTTATTTCCACATGTTTGCATGAACATGATGCAATGTCCCGAACTGTACTTATTTCCGCAAGTTTGCATGAACATGATACATGTACAATGTCCCGAACTGTTCTTATTTCCACATGTTTGCATGAACATGTTACAACGTCCCGAACTGTACTTATTTCCACATGTTTGCATGCACATGATAAAAAGTCCCGAACTGTACTTATTTCCACATGTTTGCATGAACATGATACAATGTCCCGAACTGTACTTATTTCCAACTATTCCAGGTAGCCATGAACATGATACAATGTCCCGAACTGTACTTATTTTCCACAAGTTTGCAAGCATTCCGGTCGGCTAATTAATTGTTACCTGAACTTTCAATATCAACATATTTAAACAAAATGTCTGTTTTGGTATTCAAAAATATACGGGAAAATAAATTAACAAATGACTATCTTTAAAAGATTTTACTATGATTACTAATTTGAAGAATAGGTCGTCTCTTTGTTTTGTACAAACAGTTGGAATCATTTTTAACCGGCCTTAAAATTTGTAAGGCACTTGTCATGTGAACTGTTCTCCTGACACCTTTGGGGTTTTACCCTAGATCAATTTTAGTCAGTTCTTACCAGGATCAGATTCTGACAGTTTACCCTAGAACGGATTAAGACAGTTCTACCCTAGAACGGTTTAAGACAATTCTATCCAAGATCAGTTGTTGACAGTTCTACCTTAGAACTGATTCTGACAGGTCTACCCTAGAATATTTGTTTTTCGGAAATTATTTTGTTATAAATAAGGCCATTTATTTTCTCAATTGAATTGTTTCATATTTTTCATGTCAGGGCCTTTTATAGCCGACTATACGGTATGAGTTTTTCTCATTGTTGAAGGCCGTACGGTTGCCTATAATTACTAACATCCACTTCATTTGAACTTTGGTGGTTAGTTGTCTCATTGGCATTCATACCACATCTCTTTATGTCAAAACAGTTAGAAACGGATTGATGATGAGATCGGCACAAAACACAAAAAAGCAAATAAACAAAAAAATCAGAAAGTCAATCGACAACAAGTGCCGATCTTAAAATACTCGCAGTAACTGAGTTAGTTCAAATTCAAACTGAAGAACTGTGGTATGACTGCCATTGAGACTTGAGACAACTATCCAACAGATAACCGTATAGTCATCTATTAAAGGCCCCGACATGAAAAATTTGAATCAATTTAAACGAGAAAACTAACGGCATTATTTATCACAATTCAATTTACGAAAAAAACACCAACATGACAGATATGCACCAATAATAATTTTGTATGGTGTTGTGGTCTGCATTGTAGACAGAAACTCTGACGACATAATGGTGCACATGTCGATACGAAAATATAACTAGAATAAACATCTAAAACGCCATGATCCTTTACATGTTAAAATCTTCACTTTGAATGGCAAATTCACATCATAATGAACCCTTATAGTAAAGTTTATCACAACGTCAGGACGATTAACAATTTTCAATTTGATCTAGTGTGAACACATTTGAATGAACAATCACGAGTTTTAATTATGACCCCTATGGGACTTATCGCAAGTTTGCGGCTGATACTTAGCCAAACTGTTCAAATAACACGGTAGCCAAATGTTTGATGAATGCATTAACATGAACATGATAAAGTTGTAGTATTTGAATTCAAAGAGAGACCAAAAGAGGATTGGAATATGACTTGTTACGTATCTAATGTCACTTAATGTAATTTTAAAACAGATCAAGATGATTATTTATAGTATAACAATGCTTAGTAATTCATCAAAAATGGAAGTATTTGATTAGCAAATTAATAGATGTCACAATACCTGTCATTAAGGTGGTAGGGTATACAAAAGTGCATTGTAGATCGAAACAATGGTCTATTAATGATGTACATATGAATAAGAAATAATAACATTATAATAGACATCGTAAACATCAGGATCCTTTACATGAAAACTCTAAACTTTGGAAGGTAATTTCCCACCATGATGACCCCTTAAAACAAATCTTATAAAACGATATAATGAAGATTAACAGTTTTCCTTTGCATACGGTCCAGTGCTATCACATTTAGATGAACATTTCTGAATTTTGATTTAGATACCTATGGGACTAAGCGCAGGTTTATGAACTAAACGAATTCGATATGAGACCAAAATGTTTAAGTAACGTGTAGTTTTAAATGTTTGATGAACGCATTGAAGTAAAGTATTTGGATTTGAACTCAAACAAGGGTCAAAGGGGCTTGGGATATGACGTGTTCCGTTTCTACAGGCACTCAGTATAGTTATAAAACTGGTCAGGATAACTCTGTATAGTATAACAAAGCTTAGTGAATCATAAAAAATGAAAGTATTGTCCGATTAAGTTGCAATTTATATAACAAAAATACCGAACTCCAAGGGAAATTCAAAAAGGGGAAGTCCATAAAAACCGACAAAATCAAACGCTATCAATCAACGGAACAAATGAAAAACAATTATCATATTCCTGAATTGGTACAGACGTTTTCCGAAGAAAATAGTGGGCTTAACCTCCCACTTGTATGACAGTTGTTTATAGTTCCGTTATATTGACAAAATTATTCAATTTAGGTGTCATAGTTGTTTGGCTTTGGATACGTGGGGCCATTTATCCCTATTATTATTGTTATACTGATTACTGATGTTATTTTAACGGTTTCATAATTCCCTTGAAGTTATGTTTGGTAAATAAGCATGTGCAGTTATAAATATACAGTGCGTTATTTTCTATAGAGGAGATATTGTTACCATTTAGATCTATACAAATTAAATAACCTTATTAAACAGTCTCATATCTAAGGGCAACTTCATAAGAATAGAAACGGAAAGCGGAAGAATCATTAGAGGTTATCTTGATTAAATGAAAATATTACTTTATTTTGCACCTTAAACTACATTGAATAATTTGGCATACCCAATTAGCACATTAACATAGAACCAGTTGATACTTATGATTTTTGACTGCTAGTCCTTGAGGGTATCATTAGACCACCGTTTCAGTGTTTCTGTACTGTCATGAAAATACGGATATGTTTTATTACATTTCCTGTTAAAAATCAGCCGAAATATTGAAATGAATCTCACTTAAGCTAATCTGTACTTTCGTGTACGATTTTGCCTTGATATTCTGTAGTTGTGGATAAAATTATCATTTTGCAACTTTGTCTTTGATTTTGGTTTTCCAGATATTTTGACCTCGCGCCCCTGTAGAAACATGTGTTGTCCTATGATCATCTAGTGCAGTAAATATGATGACGGGAAATGCTCATAGTAACTGTAGAGGATAAGTCAACGGTTCAAATGTAGATAGCGAGGTGATAAAGACAAACTTGAATTTCTTGACTTAGATTGATATAAAACATCTGCGTACCCTTTACCCTTCTGGAGCACGTGAGATCAACCAGATTTTTGGTGGGGTTCGTATTGCTCAGTCTTTCTATGTTGTGTATTGTATAATGTTGTTTGTTTTTTGTTTTTTTTCTCTCCCTATTTTGCCATGGCGTTGTCAATAGATATAAGAAGATGTGGTATGAGTGCCAATGAGACAACTCTCCATCCTAGTCACAATTTGTAAAAGTCAACCATTATAGGTCAAAATACGGCCTTCAACACGGAGCCTTGGCTCACACCGAACAGCAAGCTATAAAGGGCCCCAAAAATGACTAGTTTAAAACCATTCAGTTTGTTTTCGACTAATGAGTTTGAATGTGACTTTGGTATATTTCGCTTCTCTTTTGTCATACAATTATTCAAGATATAAACTTATCACAGAAATTCATATGTATCCCTGTACTCTTTATTAGGAAATGTAAATATTAAAAAAAAAACAAATTATTCTTTTGCTATGACTTTGATTAAGTATTAGATATTTCAGGTACTTACAGCTCCTCTAGAGACATCAATTCTGAAAAGGCACCTTCTTCTATGAAATTCACTTCATTTTTACCTATATCTCTGTAAAATTTAATGTCGTGTAAAATAGAATCGTTTCGTTTCTTTTGTATATTGGATATTTTGACTTAAAATCATGGCTTGATCACGACAAGAAGATTGAGATAAGAAATTTTTTTTCATGCAGATGATTTTCGATCAAACTTGTTTCTTTATTTATTCTTGATGTTTAATTTCATTCTATCTCTTTCATTCTGTGGTTTACATGTTGTAATGTATATATATATTTATTTATGTATGTGTCTGTCCTGAGTGTTCTTGCGTTTAGTTGTAATGTATTCCTGTCACGTAAGGTTGTCATTTTAGCGGTATTTTTAACATTGCCTTATAAGCGGGAGGTTTGGCTAGCCATAAAACCAGGTTCAACCCACCATTTTTTCTTAAAATGGCCTGTTCCAAATCAGGAATATGGCAGTTGTTATCAAATAGTCCGTTTCTATGTATGTGGGTGTTTGTATTTGTAGCAGTTCAGTGTTTTTGCTGTTCCGTTGTTTTCCTCTTATTTATTTGCATCTATATTATGACATACAATGGGTTTACATATACCTTAGATCTCTACAATTTAAATAACCTTATTAAACAGTATCATATCTAATGGAAACTTCATTACTACCTATATCTTTTTTTTCTTACACTTAAATGAAATACCGGATTTGCTAAGAAAAAAGCACATAAAACTGTTATCCTGAAAGAAAAAAAAAACTAATCTATCGAAGACACTTTTCTCTTTAAAAGTGAAAACCGATAAAAACGAGACAGTACATAAGAAGTTTTATGACAAATAACATTGGATTTGAAACACTTACAAATTCCTTAAGGATGCAAATCCATCAAGATCACCATACTCTAAAGAACTTATCTTATTAGCTTCCAATCGTCTGCAAAATAGTATCATTAAAATGAAACACATTAACATTGGTACAAAGCTTTAGCATGTAAAGTATACATACCTTTTAAGAGAGGCTGGAGATACTGAAAGGATATCCTAATTCATAAATCGAAGACAAATTGACAACGTCATGGCAAAAAACAAATTGACCAGAAGACAAACAGCAGTATACAAAACACAGCATAAAAAACCAAAGACTGAGCAACACGAACCCTACCAAAAACCAGGGGTGATCTCAGGTGCAGTCTTTAACTTATATATGTTCATGTGCAAAACCCTGCTACGTATTAACTAAATGGGTCTGTACACTTTAATCGATTAAGAAATTCCCATTTTTGGAAGCTTCTGCATTACTATTGCATAATATCTTTAAGTTGTTATACATTTTGCAGGCATGTTATATATATTAGATTGAAATCAATCTGTTTCGCTAGCTTATATTTACATTTCGTCTACAGATGGTTCTGCCAAGTGCTTGAAAATATTGCGTATTATCCAAATATTTTGGTTCATTAATTTTAGTGTAAAATATTTATTTTATATATATATATATATATATATATATATATATATATATATATATATATATGTTATATTGAAAACAGTCTGTTTCGTAAGCTTTCATTTCGTCTACAAATGGTTCTAAAAAGTATTGCATATTATTAGAATTACTTTGTACATTATTTATTTGACAACGAAGGAAAAAAATGTTGATGTATCCCTAATGTGAATTATTCATAACACGTAAAAAGGATAACAGAAATAAGTCAAAACACTGGAGGGTACAATAAAGCATATCAACCAACTAATTGGTACTTGGTATTCTCCACTTAGCACACTTCCTTAGGAGTAAGAGTAAAGACTGGTAGACCAGAAGTCAACTTAATGTGTCTGAGTAGGTGGACATGGCTTCCTGTGGAGTGGTAACTTGTTAACTAACACGTCAAATATCCCACTAAGTGTGTCAGTCTAGTATAAAGAAGGGTTTATACTCATATCACATTAACATGTTCTCGTCCTGAATTGCCACTGCACGTTAAACAGTCGTCCTCCTCCTCCTCGTAATCATCATCATCCGATACAGATCCTATGCAGTGAACAAGACATGATATTATATTATTTCGATTTTCCCATGGCGATCCTGTTAACTTTCAAATTCAGTGCAGCAATTTTCAAGCAGGTCTTTCATATGGAATATGTTCCAAGTAATATCCCTGAGCTTGCGTATCAGATTTTCCTCGATGGCGGATTGCTGATTGAGAGAAAACAACTTAACCAAGGCTACTTAATAGAATGTTAAAGAACATAAAGAAGTAAAACGGACGCTTTCATAATATGGTTAACTGTTGATAAATATATATAATGTCATAGATGTTATGTTTTACTTGTCGTAGCCACAATCATATACTCCTTTTCTCATTGATAACGTCACCAAATGCGACTAATCACCGGTTTTTTATTTGAAATGAGACACACAATGAATGCGTCTTATGTGTTGGTACTGTAGTGTATTTGAAATGAAACACACAATGAATGCATCTTATGTGTTGCTACTGTAGTGCATTTGAGATGAGACACACAATGAATGCGTCTTATTTTCTTTTGTTTATTTGTTCTCCATTTTCTTCGGTAATGGTGTATTCTGTCTTTCTTCTACTTTTCCTGTTTTTCACTATGTCATGTGTAATGTAATATTGAATTTTTAAAACTTACAACTTATGCACGTATAGGTTTATAAAGATAAATTAAGGACCGTTGTTCTGGGTTATAATAAAAATATATAAGGAGATTGGTTATGAATTCCGATGAGACAACTATCCATTGGAGAGAAAATGACGTGGATGTTAGCACCTATAGGTAACCGTACGTCATTTAACAAGGAACAACACTCATATCGTCCAGTAAGCTTTATAAGCACACGACGTGACAAAATGTAAAAACGTTCAAACGAGAAATCGAATGGCCTGATTAATAATAACACAATGAACGAAAAAACAAATATGACGACAGCAACCAAACAAAACCACCAATTTACATGTTACCTGACTTCAGACAGGCCCTTACAGAAATCCAGCGGGGTTGAAACATGTTTGTGTTCATCTTTCCCCCTAACCTAGGACAATGGTGTAACAGCGCAAAATAAGAAAAAACTGTAAAAATAAGGCGACGCCAAAATATAAGTATCGACAAGATATATGGCCGAAAGTGTAAATAAGTTTACTTTATACAAAGTTAATTTGAGGATAAGTCTGCATTTGAAAACCAGACATCGGAATTCGTCTGCTTTTAAATTATTTCAACCAGGTGAAGGGCTGATCTGAACAGTCAAGAAAACAGCTGAAGTAAATCAAATTATGCGATAGCAGTCAAGACGTCAGCTCAAGTCAAATTAGATATGTAATACTTCCAGATGTATTTTCCAGAATAACTAAAAATTTAACTTTAAGCCAAAATTATGCATACCTTTGGAAAGAACTAGCTCTGTCCTCTTTTGACATTTTATATCGGTTATTCCTCCATTCATTACAATTTTGAGTTCAGGGATTTTACACAAAATTCAAAGAGAAAATTATTTATCAATATATGCATTGATGCAGAATTTTGTTTACTTTTATTGTTTGTGGTTTCTAAAAGTCCGATACTTCTACTGTTAACAACATCTAAAGGTCCGATACTTCTACTGTTATACTGTTAACAACATCTAAAGGTCCGATACTTCTACTGTTATACTGTTAACAACATCTAAAGGTCCGATACTTCTACTGTTATACTATTAACAACAGCCAAACAGTTTAGTGTCTCCGTTCACACATAAAATATAAATTGGACATTGTATTTAACTCCATCAAAACTGTGATACGTCGTCTATTTTGGCTATACTTGGAATTTCAATTCCCCAAATTATTTCTTTAAAAAGCTAGACAACATGTACTTACAACGTTTGTAAGGATGACAATCCATCCAGAGAACCATTTTCTAGAGAGGAGATTTTGTTAAGACTGAGATCTCTACAAATTAAACAAGGTACTATAAATACTCTTATTATACTGTCACATATTTGATAAAAACTTCATAAGAATAGACGCGGAAAGCGGAAGAATCATTAATGGTTATCTTGATTTAATGAAATAGTTACGTTATTTTCATGCTTAAACTACAGTTAAACATTTGAATTGCCTGATTAGTTCATTGACCAATTGATACATCTGAATGTGGACTGTTAGTCCCTGAGGGTATCATGAGATGAGTTCTGTTCATTGCTTCCATGCTGTCATGAACAATACAGATAATTTTAAGATTTTCCAGTAGAAAACAATTTAAAAATTTGGAATGTATCTCCCTCAAGGAAAGCTAAGAATTCTTTTACATTTTTTTATCTGTATTTGGAAGTTGTCGATTATATCATTTGTTAAACTTTTTCTTAGGTTTTGGGTTTCCAAACTATTTGGCATACGAAGAAACTTTCGTTGACGAAGTGGGCATCGGATGCAATGAAAATGATTGCGCTCCATGTTCATAGCAGCTGCAGAGGACGACTCAACCACACTTATGTATTGAGGTTGGCGGATGTAGATAAAAATGGATTTCTAGACCTATATTGATATAAAACGTTTGTCATACAATTATCCAGTATAATTGTTTTTACAGTAACTTATTTCAATCCGGTACCCTCAACCAGGAAATTGAAAACATTTAAAAGATTTTTTAGCGAAGCAAATTTTGATCTTATGTCTTTTGCTGTGATGTTTGATAAAGTATATTGTGTAAATGAAAAATTAAAAAATATGCATGTCATGAAAAGATGAAAAAAAGATAGGATTGCTGAATTTTTTACGAATTCAAACTACTTTTAATAAAAATTCGCTAAAATATACAAAATCAGTGTTTTAAATGACGAAAGACAAAACAAGGAATGAAATATCTCGATAATTTAGATAAGATATCTATTTTTTGCTAATTTCATGCAATCGCTTTTTTTTGTCCAAATTTAATTGATAGAAGCAAAATTGTAAACTTACAAAGATATTGTGTCTATAGGAATTCCTTGAGGTATCACATCTAATCTTTTGTTTCGACACGATATTTCAGTCGTCGAACAAAAACATAC